AAAATAATAAAAAAATTTAATTCAATAATATAATCAAACCAAAAACACTGAAATGTGAAATAGAGCGCCAAGTTCGCACATTGCTGAGCTCAGTCGCAGAATCGTTTTTTCAGTTTCTGACGACGAATTTCCCCCACGAATCATTATCACTCAATTCTGTAAGTGGTTCTGATTTACTATCGCTGTTCTCTAGCTGATCTAAACCGCTTTTGACCTAAAGGGACACTTTTTGGACGCCATGGACATTTCTCAGTTTCCAGGCAGAAGGAACAGACAAAATGCAGGTAGGGCGCGGACAAAGCACTCGGGACAAAATGTATGTGAAATTCGTTGAGACAGCAATGTTTTACTATGTAAAATGAAAAAAAAAAAAATGACATTTTTTAAAATTTTTAAATTTCCCGCCGCCCGGCGGCGCCCGTACGTCCCGACGTCACAGGGACAGGACACAGAAGCCGGATGCCGGCATCGGCCGGAGGAGATGGCCGGGGACGCTGCAGGGGACACATCGTGGGAGCGCAGGGTAAGGTAAGTGAAGAACACATGCCGTAGCAGCGCCGCATGGTATTCCCGAGTGTAGCTCGGGGTTACCGCTTTTGGTACTGAAATGTTACCCCGAGCTACACTCGGGAATACCGCCAGGGAGGTTAAAAACTGAAAGGTATGCTGGAAAAAAACTCACCTTTATATGGGGATAACTTTCTTTGTCCAGCAGGGTGCAGCTGCATTGGTTTTCCTCAGAGCTTAGTGAATGTGGGGAAGCGCTTCCAATTTCCATCATCCAATCATGTATACATTTTGTTTTTTAATTTTCCTTGCAACTGATTGGGTATTATTTACTTTACTTCACTCTGAAAGTGAAGCGTCATCACATTTACTAAGGTCTGGGGCAAATGAGTGCAACTGCACTTGCAAAGTGCACCGTCTATCTGCCTTTAGTAAATCCACCTCTCTGTCTCGAATTAAGAGAAACTAGCAATAGGATTACAGGACATAAAATAAAAACTCTACGAAAGGGGTATCCCCTGAAATGAAGAAGAGAGTCCCTGAGAGAAACCTATACAGGACACAACACAAATAAGAACCCCATTTTGTCTGCAGTATCACCCCTTCGGTAGAAGAGTGTTCTCCCTCAATACAAAACATTGGAACCTTTTGACCAAGGCATATCCAGATATTCTGGATTTCAAATGGTACCAATATAGGCTTTCTGTAGCAGCCAGAATTTTGAGAGCTTGGCTTTGAATGATCTGAATTGTGACCAATACCCAGGGTGCTAGTAGCCATGTGCTTGGCTAAGAATAGAAAATGAGAGACATTGGCTGCAGCTGCTCTCTGTAGCTGCTCCCTGTGGTGCTGAGCTGATTAATAGTTATATCATCCAGTAGAGGGAGCTGCTGAGAAGGAAAAATTCAATAGACTAAGTCAGGCAGCACTGTACTTGGGAACTACAGTCCAGGGGGAGAGAGACTCTACTGTACTCAACAGCTTTTGAACTGCAATTCCCAGAGGGAGCTTGCCAGGAGGAGGGGACAGAGATTTATTTTCACAGGACTAATGATGGGCCGAACACCCCTGTGTTTAGTTCGCGGTTGAATATCCTCTCCTACAGAACACATTACACATATACTGACTGTAACTAACAAGCTGATGCTTTGATCTGTCCTCCAAAATCTCCCTCATTTCATAATTGGTGGTTAGTGAATAGTGATGGACCGAACACTCCCCTGTTCGGTTCATGGTCGAACATCCAAAGCTACAGAATGTTAGACCACAAACTAAACAACTGAGCATTATCTTATGGTATCTGAGTATGGGGTGAGATCCCGCTCAGTTACTAAAATCCGGCATGAGTTCTATTATGAAGTCATGCGGTATTTTAGTAGTGAAACATTTATTCATGTTGCAGCTGTCAGTGGGGTTCCCTGCTGACAGCTGAATGGAAAAAGAATTGTTGGCATTGCCCGACAATTAAAATTAAAAAAAAAAAAAAAATGATGTGGGGTCCCTCTCCGATCCATACCAATCCCTTTGTTTCTGGTATGGATTTTCAGGGGAACCCCCAAAATCCATACCAGACCCTTATCCTAGCATGCAGCCCGGCAGATCAGTAACCATATCAGGTCACATGCCCTCAACATGGGGAGGAAGCTTTGCGGTGGGGGGCTCCCCTCCCAAGCACCTTGTCCTCATGTTGATGGGGACAAGGGCCTCTTCCCCACACCCTATTTCTATTTCTATTAACTGAGTTCAAAGGTCAAGAAGCACTGTCACAGCTGCCCCCCCTCCCCCCATCCCAGCCCTTGCTCTGTCCCTGCTCTATCTCTGCAGTCTCTCATCCATGCCCCTCCCCCCTCCTGCAAAGATGAAAGGCATTCCTAAGGCCAGCTTGAGCCATGCTACCTTCCCCCCCCCCCCCCGGGTTTCCTAGGTGACTAGGGGGGTCCGACCAGTTTTAAGAAGCTGATGCAGAGCTCCCGAGTTATTCACCGCTGGGTAGCTGACGGAAGGAGCCCGATAGCTGCGGCCGGGACCTTTCGTGGCCAGGCGAGACAGAGACCCAAGTCTGTCTAGGACCCCCCTTCTCCAAGAGCTGGGGAAGACTGACTGCTAGACTCCAGAGATCCAGACTCACACCAAACTCCCTGTTGGATTACTTGCTGCAGAGACTCTCCCTTGGCTCTCGGTGTTGGACTTTAATGTGTTGGTCCTTCCGTGTCGCCCTGGACTGGCGTACTCACCCTCCCTGCGAACTCCTCTATTCGGTGACTGTCATTTGTTTGCCTCAATAAAGCTTTGTGCATTTGCCATCTGCTCTGTGTGTTCTGTCCTGCCTACGTTCCGTCACAAGCGCATTATGATGACAAGACTTTTGTCTGGCAGTTCCAGCACTAGTTATAATGTGTTATTCTGGGATGTCTGATTGTTTCATTTGAATCATATTAAAAATAAAATAAATGTGTTTCCTAAAAAAATGGTCCGCATTTTACAAATTCTGCCAGGGGTCTGTAAAATTCTGACCATAACTGAGACTCCGGCCCTGTACAGTATACACATGTAATAAGGGAGGTCTCTGTCTGTGCAAGATTACAACATGGAATATTATGGAGTGGACACAAGAGGACCATTGCAGGGGGATATTCTCATTGGATTTCAAGGGTCCAGCTATCCCAGGGGGCAGTAGTGAGGCACGGTAACTTCACCCATGCCTTTTGGAAGCATTTGAAGCCGGGGTTGAGGTATTTTTTGTTTCTTTTTTTCATTGGTTTTCATTTTTTTTCTCTACTTCATTTTTGAAAGTCCTTTGCGGGTGATTTGGCTTAAGGGGGAAGGTCCACTTTGCATGATAACAGTGGAAGATGTTTGGGTGATGTGCATTAGCACAGATTCTTTGGGAAAACATGTAACTGTGTGATTTAGAGGCAGGAATTGTGGCCAGAGCATTGTCACCCCATAATTCAAAGTGTCCAAACAAGGACTTTATATCAATATCACCAGCTGCTCTTTTCATGAAACCTCGTCATAGGAATTCATTTAGATTTTGCAGGTAATGCTATCATGTTAAAGCTTCCATGAGATGGAAGTGATTGGGGTTTACATCAGCATGCTCAAGGTCTTTGACTTGTAATGTTGGGGTACGTTTTCTTACGTGTCCTGCCTGTGTGCACAGATCTGTACAACCAAAAATCATTGTAAGGACCAATATCTGTCTGCAACAACTGACTGATAACTAACTCTTCAATGGTCAACACATTATCTCCTGTTTTTCTATTATCTGAGGTCTTGTCCCTTACATGACATGTACAGCAGGGCGGTCTAGTACCTCAAGTGCCTACTGGTCACCTCCAGCCAATGGTACATCCTTCACATCCACTAATCTATAGATATGATCAGTTGAAAGCATTTTATTTGTAGCCTTGCCCTCCCTGCCATGGTTTGATTGACCAGGGCAAGAACAACCTTACAAGGAAAAAAAAAATAAAAAAAGGGAAAAAAAAAAAAAAAATATATATATATATATATATATATATATATATATATATATATATATATTGTGACATGGGGGATGATTAGCTCTAGTGGTTGTAATGGTAATTTCGGGCCTACATCTTCATGAAGGTTATTTTGACTGTTGGGGGATTACACTGCAAAAGACTCAATGGAGTTGAGGGGGATGGAAGGCAACTGGAATTTCCTGTTCTTTCTTTTAATTAAACTGACCCTTGCTCTGAAGCCCACCCATTTGAGGTGTGAATTTACTTGGGTGGGTGGGTCTAGGGATAGTCTTTTGGAAGTGTATAAAACAGCAAAAACAAAAGAGGCATTCCCCTTTTTGTGCCATGTGCCTTCCAGAGCAAAGACCTCAGAACATCAGGATGTCTGCAATGTATCACCATTGCTCTGTCTTTTTCTTGTAACTATCTCTTTCTTGTAGTCTTTGTATTGGTAACATTCTGTATTATATTTTTGTTGTATTTGATTAATAGAAAGCTTCCTTGCTGTGTAAATAAATTAGATCTTTATTTTTTTTGCACAGTGGTTATCTTTTAAATATTAACACATTTGGCTAAATTCAGGTATAGACAAAAGGTTATAATCACTTATTACATTTATAATCTGTATAGAACCAAGTAAATAAGTGTGGGTAGGAAAACCGCCAAAACATGGTAGATGCTTTCTAAGTGAGTCCAAGCTAGTCAGAAATGCTTTTTCAGGGCTTGGTAGCCCACTTTTATTGAAAGGCAACAAAATCTCAAAAGTCCAAAATAAGCTTTCCCACACAGGAGTTAAAGACAAATTAAAAGTTACCAAACCTCCTGGCTACTCCTTATCAGCCCTGCTGGTCAGCAGTACCCCTGCTAATATGGCTCTTCCAGACCACTGGCTAGTCATGGCACACAGCCTCAGTCCTTTAACGCACACAGCATCTATCTCACACAGACACACTCAATGGCAGGCACCGCTCCAACTGCACTCCACTCCAGGGGCGGACTGACAACTCATGGGGCCCCCGGGCAATAGGGGATCATGGGGCCCCTGTGTCCTTGCCCAAACTCAAAAAAGCCTATGAAAAAGGTACCAGGGGCATCTCATGGGCCCCCTACTGACCCCGGGTCCTCGGGCATGCCTGACTTTCCAAATGGTCAGTCTGCCCCTGCTCCACTCCCCCTGTAACTCTCAGCAAACCATCATTATAAGGGCTGTAGGCACCTGGGCCTACACCCTGCTGGTTGACTTCAAACTCTGGACACTGGATTGGAGATTTCTTCCCTCCCAAAGCACTTTGAAATCTCCAAACTATGGAGCCCCATCCAGAAATATGAAAATCTGGAGAAACCTGCAACAGCAGTTTTCTCCACTCAAAATCTACACTCCGCAGTTCTGTACTTCGCACATGTGCAGACCCTGTGTCCATTACCTGACCACTTCTACCTGCTTTTATCCTGTGACAGGGCCCTGTGCTGTTACAATATATATAAAAAAAATATTTTTAAATAATAAAAACCATAACAAAACCGTGATGGAGGGTGGAAAAATGACCAGACCAGCGGTTGGCTTTCACTACTAGCAAAGGTGAAGTTTCTGCCTTTTGCGGGGTCTCTGGTGAAGATCTGGTCTCTGTACTTAGACTCTGTTCCTCAGTCCTTTTAAGGTCTCCCACCCTCTCCAATGTGCAAATAGCACAGAGGGCCCACTACTCACTTCATCCATGGAAACCTGGTTCTCTCTGGCCTTCAGAAATGGTCTGTGTAACCCATTAGAGACACCCCTCTCTCTACTCTCCCCTAGGTGATATTCCTTGTAGCCATCACCTCTGCCAGGAAAGTATCATTTTTTTTTAATGCATTGATTCCCTTTCTTCTGGCTTTTTTTCAGGAAGGGGGGGATTTTGGTGTTTGTATTTCTTTTCAGGTATATTGATTATTATTTGTGCTGATAGTGCCTCTCTTTTATGCTGAATTGATATCTTTGCAGCAGGGCTTCTCTATCGAAAAGTGTGCTTTTGTTTGCATTTGTCCATGTGGAGGTCAGACTTATGAGATGAGTGGATGGTGGATGGGGGGGGGGGGTTCATGAAGAAACGGTTTGAAGAACACGAAGGAGCGATCTTCTTCCATGTCACTGAGGAGGGGATTTATTGCACTTAGTATTGTTGGGGGGGGGACTTGATTTTCACAAGTTGCACATTATTTGAGGGAATTTCATCATTTTGCATGTTCTTTAGCACTTTTATTGTGGGATGAGATTTTGTATGTTAAATCATTGGAAATCTATGGATTCATCCTACACTGTTTGGCACTTTATTATTTGCACATTTAATATGTTTGTGTAAGAATTATTATATTTATTTCAGAAATATTGATTAACACTATACAAATAAACTATTTTTTGTGGGAGGTATTTTATATATATTTTTATTTTTGTATGCAGCGCTGCTTTTAGTGTGCATGCTTTGAATACTTATAGAATGGGATCAGGGTCTTAATCTTTTTATCTTTTTCTTTGACACGTCTGACCAGGAGATCTTAGAGTTTGCAGACATACTCCTTGATGGGGCCTTTATGAGTAAGAACATCTAGTTCAAGGAACATTAAGCTCACATAATTGTGATGTTTAATGTCTTCTTCAGAATAAAACCTATGATTGATCAATGAGCACTTGGAACCTTTTTTTTTGCTTTAGAAGTTTCCATATCAGGATCTGGCGAGGTCTGGGTTAGGAGTGTTGTCTCTGCAACATTGTATGGGGAAGCCAAATACCCCCTTGTGGCAGCAGATTACAAAGAAATGGCTACAAGGAGATATCATTTTTTTATTAGGTCCTATAATGAAAATGTCCTTTGAATATGAATATGAAGTCAACTTATCGCTTAAAATGTGAACTTAACTAATATTAACAATGATTTTAGAATACACCAACAAAATGTATTTATTAATGAAGCCAGATACATCTACATACAATATAAGTAGGTAGTGAAATTACATTCAGCTTATAAAAGAACATGTATATCATGTATCTTTCTGGAAGGTGGTGAGTGAAATCTTCCCTCTTTTGAAGAGTGATGGGTGTCTCTGGTATCTGACACTTCAGGAAGATTTGGATATTTTCCCCTCCTCTGGTCACTGTGGTTCTGCCTCACTAAATTACTACTTTGTTCTGTATTGATCAGCTGGTGGGAGGAACCACTACACCCAGCAGGGGACAAGGTTTGCAACAAACCCAAAGTGTCTGATACCAGTGGTGTCCAGAGCAAAAATTAGACTCACCATCCACTGGAGAGGTAAGTATTAAATGGTTATATATAACAATGTTCATTCTCAATACACTAACAAAATACTAAAATTACCAATAATAGAGATAATGCCATAATGACAGGTAACCCAGTGTTGCTCCTCACATATTAGTGAATAACTGTCTTTGTATTCAGGTCAGGTCTGAACAGAATTATGTAACATTTTGGGAAGAATATACAGCCAAGAAGTCCAGAACTTGAGGCTATTATAGCAAAAACCTCCACAGCCACCATGTATTTCCCTCTGGTGCTCAGATAGGCCGGGATCATGGCAATCCAGACACTGCAGAACACCAGCATGCTGAAGGTGATGTACTTGGCCTCATTAAAACTGTCCGGTAATGTCCTGGCTATAAAAGCGATAATGAAGCTCACAGCTGCCAGAAGCCCCATATATCCCAGGACAGAGTAGAAGCCGATAACTGAACCCTCATTACACTGAATGATGATCTTCCCCTGATAAGAGTGAGTGTCCTGATCCTGGAAGGGGGGAGAAATAGACAACCAAGTGACACAGATTAGGACTTGAACCAGTGAGAAGACACAAATGATACAATTGGACAGTTTGGTTCCCATCCATTTCCTCGAGGTACTCCCAGGTTTGGTGGCTTTAAAAGCAATACACACCATGATACTTTTGGCAAGTAGAGAAGAGACGGCAACTGAGAAGATGACACCAAAAGAGGTGACACGCAGCATGCAGGTCACATCTACTGGATGGCCGAGGAACAAGAAGACACAGAGGAAGCTCAGCATGATGGAGACCAGGAGAAGATAGCTCAGGTTCCGGTTATTAGCTTTAACAATGGGGGTGTCCTGGTAATGTATAAATATCCCCAATATTAAACCAGTCAGAAGACAACAGAGGATGGAGACGGCTGAAAATACTGCAACAATGGTGTCATCAGTGTAGGAGAGAAATTCCACCAATTTTGGAACACACCGATCTTTCTTCTCATTTGTCCATTCTTCATCAGGACATTTCATGCAGTTTTCACTGTCTGCAGGAAGAACAATACAAACACAATGAGCATTGGGGTCAGAGCTTCTGAGGAAATGACTTGTCTTGTGTTGTCTTCCAGCTAGCAATGGGATTTCCATCAGTGCATTGTGGGAGAGGAAAAGAGAATATAATAATAATATTATTGCACAAGATTTATAAAAATTAGACACCAGCAAGGAGCTTTTCTGAGTATGATGGAGGAGAGCAGTGGTGAATTTTCTCTGTCAGACTCAGATTCTGAGTATGAGCCAGCTGAAAGCAGTGGGTCAGCATTGGATTCTGAGGAGAAAGTCCAAATAAGAGATTCAGGAGATCTGAGGAGGAGAAGGCATCCACCAGCAGTGCTGTAAATCCTGGTGCAGTGGTGAGTTCAAGGATGGAAGCATTCCCGGATGATAGGCCAGGTACTTTTAGCGGGGTGTCCCATCCACCACAAAGAAGTAGGACCCATATTAACCTCTCAGACTTGCCTTTAAATCCCCTATAGCTGCTGTCTAATTTGGCAAAACCTACAATCCCCCCCTTTTACAACACAGCCAGGCCCCCAAATAGAAAAGGAAAAAGATACCCCAATTTATTTATTTATTTTTTACTGAAAATTTAATGGATTTAATTGTGCAGCAGTATAATCTGTATGCCAGCCAATACATTGAAAACCATCCCAATTTGTGTGCCTTTCCATTTGTGTGCAGACCCCTATATGGCAGGTAATCTATGGCAGGTAATCTATGGGTTGGTCTACCCAACCCATAGATTACCTGCCAGTCTATTCTTCTTGTATGCCCAGAGTACACATGAAATGATCACAAGGTTTTATTTTAGTTATTTCAGGTACCTATATAGCGCCGCCAATTTATGCAGCACTTTACTTATACACTGCTCAAAATAATTAAAGGAACACTTTGAAAACACATAAGATCTCAATGGGGAAAAATATCATGCTGGATCTCTATACTGATATGGACTGGGCAACGTGTTAGAAATGTAATGACGTCCCATCGTTTGATGGAAATGAAAATGATCAACCCACAGAAAGAGGTCTGAATTCAAAGACACCCCAAAAATCCAAGTGAAAAATGATGCACCAGGCAAGTCCATTTTGCTGAAATTCCATTGCATCAAGTCAAAATGGGCCTCAGTAGTTTGTATGCCCCCCATGTACCTGACAACATTGAGGCATGCTCTTAATGAGACGACGGGTGGTGTCCTGCGGTATTTCCTCCCAGATCTGACCCAGGGCATCACTAAGCTCCTGGACAGTCTGAGGTGCAAACTGGCAGTGTCGAATGGACCGAAGCATGATATCCCAGAGGTATCCTATTGGATTTAGGTCAGGCAAATGTGGGGGCCATTCCTTAATCCACCAGTAACTGCCTGCATACTCTTGCCACATGAGGCCCACTGTACCAGTGTACGGTCTGACAATGGGTCCAATGATTTCATCCTGATACCTAATGGCAGTCAGGGTGCCATTGTCTAGCTTGTAGAGGTCTGTGCGTCCCTCCATGAATATGCCTCCCCAGACCATCACTGACCCCTTTCATGTCTGTCACATGTGCTCAGGGTGAACCTGCTCTCATCTGTGAATAGCACAAGGTGCCATTGGCAGACCTGCCAATTCTGGTGTTCAATGGCAAAATTCCAATCCAGCTCTATGGTACCAGGCAGTGAGTATAGGGCCCAGTAGAGGACATTGGGCCCTCAGGCCACCCTTATGAAGTCTGTTTCTGATTGTTCACCAGTGGCCTGCTGGAGGTCATTTTGTAGGGCTCTGGCAGTGCTCATCCTGTTCCTCCTTGCACAAAGGAGCAGATACCAGTCCTGCTGATGGGTTAAGGACCTTCTATGGTCCTGTCCAGCTCTCCTAGAGTAACAGCCTGTCTCCTGAAATCTCCTCCATGCTCTTGAGACTGCGCTGGGAGACACAGCAAACCTTCTGGCAATGGCACGTATTGATGTGCCATCCTGGAGGAGTTGGACTACCTGTGCAACCTCTGTAGGGTCCAGGCATCGCCTCATGTTACCAGTAGTGACACTGACCCTAGCCAAATGTAAAACTCGTGAAAATCAGTCAGAAAAGATGAGTAGGGAAAACATGTCAGTGGCCTCCACCTGTAAAACCATTCCTGTTTTGGGGGTCATGTCATTGTTGACCATCTAGTGCACCTGTTGTTAATTTCATGAACACCAAAGCAGCTGAAACTGATGAACAACCCCCTCTGCTACTTAACTGACCAGATCAATATCCCAGGAGGTTCATTGACTTGATGCTAGACTCTGATTAAAAAGTGTTCCTTTAATTTTTTTCAAGCAGTATATAGTGCACATTTACATCAGTCCCTAATCCTCAAGGGGTGTACAATCTAAGGTTCCTAACTCACATTCATGCATACATATTCTAGGGCAAATTTACCAACCAGCATGTCTGTGGAGTGTGGGAGTACCCAGAGGAAACCGACACAGGCACAGGGAGAACATGCAAACTCCAGGCAGGTGGTGCCATGGTTGGGATCCGAACCAATGACCCTCGTACTGCCAGGCAGAAGTGCTAACCATTCAGCCACTGTGCTTTTACACTTCAATGATAATACCCAGTGCCTTTTCTCAAAATCATCCTAATTACAACAAGCTGTTCAAAATGTGGCCAATAATCAACTTTTTTGCAGTAAGTTTAGGGTTATGTTTACTCCCGACAAAATATTTGTGTGGATGAATCTCTCATCATTTCACTGGAAGGCTGGGCATTAAACAGTACATCCCAAGTAAACACCCAAATATGGGGTAAAACTCTACAGGCCCACAGATTATACGTACATATTGTGAGGGAAAGGACAGTCAGCCAGACCCCCTGAATGCCCTACCTATATGGGAACTAGAAGGGTTATCATCTGTATGTTGATAATTTCTACACAAGTCTCCCCCCACTATTCCGCCATCCCTATCTAAAGCCAACTGTGGCCTGTGGGACAGCGTGGGCCAAAGTCAAGGGCTTCCCACAAAGATTATATATATATATATATATATATATATATATATATATATATATATATATATCTCCTCTCCTAAATCCATGATGACACCTCAGTGGAACTCTTCAAACAGGACAAGATCCCATCCAGAAACCAAAGTTCATGCAAGACTATAACCAGTTCATGGGGGGGAGGGGGGAAAGGAACGACCAGATTTTACAGCCCTATTTAGCCACCAGGAGATCAATCAAAAGGAGATAAAAAAAAAACTGACAGGGGTTCTAACCCTCCATGACTCTATACAAAATTAAAAAAAACGTTTTGCCTCTAGTTACACTATCAAGCAGCCTTTTTCAACATTTTCAACACAGAGGGACCCTTTAAATATTTTTCCAGTCTCAGGGAACCCCTGTTAAATATTCCTATACCTACAACTTATGATAGATCAGTGTGATGGTCAGTGGGAAGCAGGGGCGGACTGACAACTCATGGGGATCATGGGGCCCCTGTGTCCTTGTCCAAACTCAAAAAAGCCTATGAAAAAGGTACCAGGGGCATCTCATGGGGCCCCCTACTGACAGTGCCCCGAGTTTCCGAAAGGTCAGTCCACCCCTGGTGGGAAGATTTAACCCTCATAGAAGCTAAAAAGATCAATGGTGTCAATAGGAACTCAGTGGGAAAATCTCTCTAGAAATAACTGTGAATAAGTAAAGTATCCCCATTACTATGTGTGGGGTGATTGGGAGTTTTTATTCAGCAGATGATTGAGATGCTTGTATATTCAGAAACAAAATCTGGCAAAATGACAGAAGAAAATAGACTGATTTTACTACATGTAATGGGGGGATTCAGTAGTTTAGTAGCAGTAGTAATAGTGTTAATAGTAGCAGTAGTAGTAAAAAGCAGCTGGGCAGGGCTGACACCATTTATTTTGATTCCAGACAACAAACTCCTGTGTGTTGTCAGCCCATAGCAGTTTATTATTATTATACAGTATTTATTTAGCGCCAAAGGGTATGCTCAGCGTTGTACAGTAGCAAGGGGGACAGAACATGAGACAAGACAGTAACAATACAATACACGAGGGGTTCGAGGGCCCTGCTCTTTTGAGCTTACAATCTAGGAGGGAGGGGAAGGTGGCACAGGAGGAGATGGCTGTGGGGGATGGTGGGTGGGAGGAGTGGAGGAGGTTAGTTGTTAGGTGAGGTCGGGTGTTAGGTGAGGTTGGGGTAGGCTTCCCTGAAGAGGTGGGTTTTCAGGGTGCACCTGAAGGTGAGGAGGGTAGGTGACAGTCTGATGGATCGGGGTAGGGAGTTCCAGAGGATGGGGGAAGTCCTGGAGAAGTCCTGCAATTGGGCGTGGGAGAAGGAGACCAGGGAGCTAGAGAGTAGGAGGTCCTGTGAGGAGCGGAGGGCACGGGTAGGGTAGTATCTGGGTATCAGGTCGGTTATGTAGTTTGGGGCGGCATTGTGAATGGCTTTGTAGGTCAGAGTTAGCAGTTTGAATTTAATGTGTTGGGCAATCGGGAGTCAATGAAGGGATTGGCAGAGGGGGGAGGCAGATGTGGAGCGGTTGGTGAGGTGGATGAGTCTGGCCGCTGAGTTTAGGATCGACTGGAGTGGGGATAGCGTTCGTTTGGGTAGGCCAGTGAGAAGGGAGTTGCAGTAGTCCAGGTGTGAGATGATGAGGGAGTGTATGTGTTGTTTAGTAGTGTCTGGGGAGAGGAATGTGCGTATCTTGGAGATGTTGTGGAGGTGGAGCCTGCAAGATCTAGATAGCAGTTGGATGTGGGGTAGGAAGGAGAGGTGGGAGTCCAGGGTGACACCCAGGACTTTGGCGTGTGGGGTGGGAGAGATCGTGGCGTTGTTAGTAATGATGGAGAGGATGAGGGGGGGCACGGGGTGGGGGATGGGGGGGGGTCACGGGGTGTACAGGTGTACCTCGGTTTACGAACGCCTCAGTTAACATAATTTTCGGTTTACGAATGAAAATCCATTGAAAATAATGCCTTGGTTTACAAATTTTTTTTCTCAATACTAATGGATTAATTGGTTTTCAATGCATTTACAAATTTTTTTTTAACCATGTCCCTGTACAGTATTTTTGCCTTTAAAGTGCACTTTATAAAGAGTTTTGAATAGATACGACTTTAACTTTTTTTCTGATCTCTGGAATCGATTAATTGGTTCTCAATGCATTTACACTTACTTTTTTTTAATCATGTCCTTTTATGCCTTTAAAGTGCGCTTTATAAAGAGTTTTGAACAGATAAAACTTTTTTTTACCTTTTTCTGACCTCCGTAACAGATTAATGGGTTTTCAATGCATTCCTATGGGAAACCATGTTTTGGTTTACAGATTTTGTGCAATAGGAAAAGTCCCGCAGAACTCATTAAATTTGTAAACCGAGGTACACCTGTACATTTCTGTACTTGCAAGGTGCTTAGAAGGATAAAACATGGGGAATTGTGCACATATTGCAGAAATGTACTTCATATTTCTTTTCCCCCTGACATCCACTTTAACTACAGCGGTACCTTCTGACCAATCTAACAATAATTTACTAACAAATACAAACTGTACCGGAAATGTCAGATATCTCTCCTTCTGGACACGGGACGCACTCATAGCAGCATTTATGAATTGAAGATCCAAACATTTTTCTGCTGCCGGGGTAAACAGGGATCTGAGCATCGAGATACCGGCACCTGAAATCAGATATTAATATTATTATTATTATTTTGAGTTATACAAACTAAATTTTACAAATAAGAATAAGGTTCTGGTTTGCCTCTACCATGGGTTCAAGGTGAACTCTGCAGGTTTGAGATCCATTCAGGGATTTTCAGGCAACTTTTGGGGGGTTTGTCATTCATTTTAGGTGTTTATTCATCTCATTTGTATGATGCTCTCTATGTTAGGTTTCATTTCTCTTTTTAATTCAAGGCTATCCTTTAAAAATAGAGGGTTTTGGTTTCAGGGTTGGTGTTTTGGGGTTTTCAGAATTTCTTTTGTTATTTTTAGTTTTTGTTGATAGGGCTTTACATTTAAGGAGCTTGAAGCACAGCATTGACTTGTTTCTGACCTGACCTGTACCTGAAGCTGCCTTTTGTTCTCAGCACACTTCTGCATTGTTGGAAAGAAAAAAAACTAAATACAAGATTAGCGTGCACCTAAACCACCTCACAGGATATGCCTCACATATACATCAGCCCACCCCCTAGTTGAAATAAAAGTTAGGAATTTACAATTAGGCCTATTATTCCTAAATAAAATGATCCTCCTGCATCTTAATTCTTGTAGTAAAGCCCTGGCCTATGCTCTTTTTGGCAAATTTTGACCTAGACTTGCTACTTAAATTTGTCTAGCTTATGAGACACAAATTTCACGCCCCCTATTAAATTTGCTGTGGTAATGGAACCATTACTGCAAATGATCACAGCATAGACGGGCATAGTGGACATAAACACGGGGAATAGGGAACATTGATTAGGTTTGTTTGCTAATGATGTGATCTTCCTGCAATCTAATCTAGAAGTTTCACTCACAAATGTACAATGTATGCTCCGTGCTTTTTGTAATGTTTTCTACAACAAATTCCCCACAAAAGGTTGACCAGTAGCAATTAAATATTTAGGACACCAAGGTGGGGGTGTGGCTGGTCAAGACCAAGATGGATGCTCTGCTCTGAGCCCTCTGCACACCAGACCGGTTAGAGCATCTCCCAGCAGCAATCTACGGCTCACTAACAGACCCAGAAGGTACACTATCCTCCCCAGCATAGCGGCAGCATGACTACCAAGAGAAAAGAAGAGAGGCACCCACAGAAACTCACAGAATTTGTGTTTCAGCCGGTGGACTGGCTACAGGCAAGATGGCACCGAACCCACGGCCTCAGCAGCCATCTCAGCTCCTCTCCAAGCATCACAGCCTTTTGTATCCTTGAATCCACAAGATTACTCCATGGAAGTCCAGAATACCTCTGACAGCTGCATCTCCTCCAGGCACTTCTGTCACAAGTAGACCAGATCAAGCAAGGATGTGGATAGATTCTCCTATGACTGACATCCATGAGGGTGAGCCTTCTTTATATCTCTCATGGGTCCCAAGGGGCACATCCTGATGTCATAGCCTTATTTCCTACTAAGAATCAATAAAATCAACTAGTGTTGGACACTACCCTCAAAGATATGTTAATGTCCCTTAGCAGTTTAATCATGATACCACCTCCCTAGAGGACAGAGTGACATATGGAAACAAAAATGGGGGGGGACTATGCATCCACTACATAAATGATTTTATTGATGCTCATGATGCACATATCCAGGAGCATAACTGGATCAAAGACAACCTGGAAGATCTAAAAAATAGGACCCTTCGGAATAATATCAAAATCCAGGGGATATCTGAAGCTGTGCTCCCGACTGCCCGCTGACACAATGCAACAATAGGCCTAGGTCTGGGGCATCTTATGCTACAAATGCCCAGTCTGGTGTATGAAAACCTTCAGCTTTATTGAACTCATTATCCTCTGTTTTTCTTCCTTGGCATGAGAAGTGCCAGCAACCCAGGATGGTTTTGTGGGTTATCAAACTACTTTTGGTTTGGTTCTCAAGTTCTTTTCTTTTGTGTATTTGAACTCTTCAGCAACTACTAACCGCATTCATACCTCTAGTGTGGTGTACTCATTCTCCACCAACAGTTTTAACAATTGTGAGGTGTACGTCTGCAAACCATCTCACCTGTGTGATGTGACATTAGCAAGGCAGTTCCATACTACCTATATTCAGTGCACTCCGTGAAATCTCCCTCAGCTCTATTTTGTCACCAGGTCAACTTCCATGACCATTATGATACTCTCCATAAATGCTAAAGGACTCAGTCATCTAGCAAAAAGATCTTCAGTAAGGAAGCTAGCTCTGAATTCTCATTGCATGTCCTATGTGTGCAGGAGATGCACTTCCATGCTTCTCACCAACTTTTCTTGGGATTGGACTCTGAGGTGTTTGATTGCCTCAGCTGGTCTTTCCTCTTTGAGACTCTAACATTTATGGGCTTTAAAGGACCTTCTCTTTGGGCAATATATTATTTATATTACAACCCCACAGCCCAAGTTAAGACCCCTTTTGAAATCTCTCAGTCCTTTTCAATTGCAAACGGGATGAGATAGGTCTGCCCTCCCCCTCCTTTTTTTGCCCTTTGTATTGAACCACTAGCAGCACATCTCCGTAATAATCCAGATGTACATGACATTCTGGTTAGTTGCTGTCTCTCATCCACTGTGACATATTAGTGGAAAACGTCTTCTCTTAAATATTTAGGTGTCCACATTACACCAACATTATGCACTCTATAGGGAAAACTTCCTTCTGTTGTTTGCAGAAAATCCATCCAAAAGTCCCTTCTCTGCTGGAAAACCTTTCATATTTCTTGGTATGGTCACATGATCTTGGTTAAAATGAATATACTTCCAAAGATACCGTACCTTTTCTAAACCTTGCCAATCCCAGACCCTATTTCTCATCTCCGTAAATTGTAATCTCACTTTTTGGATTTAGTATGGGCGCATAAAAAACATAGGGTGGCAAATTCTGCCCTTTTTGCCTCAAGAAATAAAGATTAACATTCCCAAATCTGTTGACCTATTTTCATGTGACACAATTGCGTGCCCTCTCTTCTTGGTCCACATTATATGCATACAACCGTTGAACAACAGATTGAAACGCTCT